TAATGTTTTTGAGAAGAAAAATACAGTTTAGATTGAGTAACAACATCATCATTGATTGAGCAAAACACCTCTAAAGATAAATACAGCAAAGTATGTGATTGATTTTAAGTGTTTTTTCATTATCACTGCTTTGGAAACTACTGCTAGTGCTCAAAATGGATTGGTGGTAAGTATACTTATTACACTAGGATCCAAGTGTTTGTGCAAGAGTAAGGTCAGAAGTTGAAAAGTCCCAAAATCAAATAAAACATAGACTATTATCTCTGTATTTTAATTCATCAACCAAGTCCTTGGTTCATTCATGCCTTGCGTGTGTATGCACTGATCTGTACACACAGCTCCAACATTGCATTCATAGAACCAAGGATGTTTTCAATGAATTTTGTTATGCAATGCCACCACCTACTGGCTGATGGCTGCTTTCTAAGTTTTCCATCAATGAAGTCAACTGCTGAAAGTATTAGAACCGTCTGGGTAATGTTATCCTGCATTGCTCTGCAGTTTTGCACATAAAACACTTTTGTCAAATTCAACTTCCCTCTGCTGTATGCATTACAGCATCATTATGAATTTTTCATTTTACCTGAAGTGAAAGGTGAATCATTGACTACCTGATCTGCATCCAGTGACTGGTCCCCACAAATATGTCAGTGATTAGGGCTGGGTAACTTATCAATATTATATCAATATCCTGATATATGACTAGATATCATCCTGGATTTTGAAAATCATAATATGTGTTGTCTATTTGTTAAGCTGTATTACAGATAAAGTGGTCATTTTCTGAACTTACCAGGCTGTTCTAGCTGTTCTATTATTGACCTTTACCCACCTTATACACATAATATCCACAGTACAGATGATTATTTATCAAAAATCTCATTGTGTAAATATTTTGTGACAGCACAAATAGTCAACCCTACAATATTGTCGCAATATCTATATTAAGGTATCTGGTCTAAAATATTGTGATGTTTGATTTTCTCCATGTTGCCCAGCCTTATAAGTGATAACAGTTTCCTCTTCACAAATGTTTATACTTAAAGATCACTTCCAGACATGTTTAACATGTATGTAAATTGCTCTACTTTGAATGATAATTGTATCTGATATGTTATCTTCACAAAAATGTTCAGTTATCTTGTTAAAGGTCTATGCAGGAATTGTCAGCTACTACTTCTAAACAGTAGCACCAGTGAAACTGAAAGCCAACCCTGGACTCACTCTTGTTTGCTGTTGAGTTTCTGCAATTTTCGTATCTTCCTCTTGGATGCATGCCCAGGAACACAGCAAAATAAGAGAAGGGCAGAGTCTCTGTAGATGAATACACCACCACACACCTCTAATGAGTCATGAGTGATGATTGAGAGGGATTTCTTCAATATGAGTCTATACATTGTTTAAGTTTTAGGTAAATCCTGCGTAGTTTATCTTTAAAATACTTTAAATGACAAATCCAGAATCTTTAAATGTAAGTTGAACTGCTGGACAAGAGGTGTTTCTACTTCACTGTAAAGTCCATCTCAGTGTGCGCAGGAGGCTTCAAGTTTCTACATCACACTCTTGCAAGGTGAATATTGGACATGATTGGCTTCCAAACTATTTGTGATGCCCTGAAAATGTGATTTTCAATGAGCAAAGAGAAACTTTCCACTTCCAGCAAATTAATATGAAAACATCCCTCTAGTGTCAACCTCTGCACGTACATCATTCTAGTGAAGGTTTAACATTCAACTGCAGGAATAAGAAGCAAACATATTTTTGAGTGGAGGGTACCTTGAAATACTTGCCTGGACTGACAGGCCAGAAGCACACAGGACCAAAAAAGTTCTTCACACGTGATGCTCTTTCCTCCTCACAAAGTTTGCAGCATTGTCCAAATATAGATTAATAATTACCTGGACTCTGAAGCAAAATTAAAACATGTACCTTATATACCCATAGGGGAGAGAAGCTGTGAAAGTATTCCAGTCAGGCGGCACAGTTAAACAGTCATAGAGTTTATTCTGTAAGAGAGTATGGACATTATGAACATTCTAGTAACAAGTAGTTCAGTGATTCAGAAGTACTTTGATTATTACATTATATATACAATATTTGGTCACACTTGAATTTAATTGCCTAATGCTGATACTCAACATTATGAAGTAACCACAATGCATCAGTGAAAATGTTTAATATATGAATATGACTTAAATTTAAGTTTGGGGGTATACTGTCTTTAGAGGTGTGGAAAACAAAAGTTGATAGTTGAGTATAAGCACCGGGCTTTTCAAATAAAGTGTCAACCAGTATTTAGTAACCGTTAAAACAAACATTACTTTACAAGGAAGACTCAAGAATGTGATGCTTCAACGTAATGTTGTGTGCTCCGTGATGTGCTGCCTATAAACACTAACTTCAATCGACTTCATACTTTATATGTCAGGGTTCGATTGACATACTTTACAGCTGAGTTTTCTGCTACAGCTGATTGAAAAATTCTCAAGTGACGACACATTTAGAAATGTCTCAGACAATTAAGATGTAGATTTTATGGCCAGAAATGTTTGTTTGTTTGTTCATGAATATTGTGTGAAATCATCAATCAATACAGGACAGATGAACTCAGAAAAAAACACATCTGGTTCTTGTTTTACAAATTCTTGTGTTATCATCATGTGAAGGACAATTTCCTGCTTTCCATTGGAAGGCAATGGTTAATTCCAAATGTTACAGTCATTAAGGCAACCCAAGGAGAGCAGAAGCGTCATCTTTAATGTTACTTATTGTGTTTCTTTATAATGAGGCTGTCTTTAGGCAGACTAAAACAAAACAGGTGTTTAAAGGAGCGGGAAGGTAATTTCGAGCTGTTTCTCAGCCCGCACTTACAGAAACTATTCTTGACCCAAATCTGCTCAGACCACTGATTGGACACATATTCAGATGGACAGACGTAAATAAAAAAAGACAGACAGGAGGAGGACGAGCAGACAGACACAATTACTGAAACAGAAACAGATGTGACAAGCAGAAAACCAGAGTAACAGAGAAACTGATCTGCTTCACAGCAGCTCTGTACAGTTCATCTATATCAAAACACACACTCACGGACTCACACACATGCACAGACACACACTCAGATGCACAATCGTCATAGTTATAAGGCACAAACAACACTAGACCACAATCCAAAAATAGACGTACAATACATATTCCGATAAAAATCTCTTAAATTGTGTGGAATGCTTATTTTCCCCAGAAACATGCTGCTGTTCGGAGAAAACCTGATACCTGCAATTTAGTCCTCAAACATATTTGACCAAATTGTCTTTGATCTGAGATGTAACAGACTTTTTTATGAATGCAGACAGCTACACTCACATCTGCTTCATTTTAAGTTTTCTCAAGAGGAGATACCTCAAGATTGAAGTCAAAGTTCCTGAAAAGCAAATTTTGGGAAAGTAAAACAAGATTTTCCCAGACCTGTAGCATTAACACCCTGTTGTTACGATTTTGTTACAAAATAAAAACATTTGTATATCAGATGGTTTCAACATTTATAATTTTGTGACAAACTGCAGAAAGACTAGTGTTTGTTTGTTTTTTTTCAACACAACGTCAACTTCAACATGTAGTAGTAAAATACTCTCTATGCAAAACATATCAGAAACATTGTCATACATTTTTGGGATTGCTGACTGTACATACATACAACCTTGAACCAGTTTCCATCTCAAAAAGTCTTCTGGAGCTTCATGTAGCTGAGCATCGACAGTAAAAACTACATAATATGACTGGTTTATGGTATAAAAAGTGCCTTGTCATGATGTGTAATCAATATATAATAAGTAGCCTATACATAAAATTAATTCCTATAAATACTCTAGATAAATATCAAACTGCGGTCCTGATTTTCGTGTTTCCGTCAAGTGTCGTTAGCAATGCTATGCTTTTATACAGTGTATTACAATTATGTTCAGTAATCAAGCAGTCTGGCCACTAGACATAAATCAAATCGGTCACCATTGCTGATAAAACCAGCAAGATTTGAACGAGGGGTTTGATCCAAAATGCACCAGGAAATGGCATCTGCATTTTCAGTGACACATTTTTATAGTCGGGTGTGTAACCTAAGTTCTCAGGGGAGGATATGGTGACACTTTAACAACCTGGATCATCTCCATTTCACATACATGATGATGAACTTCAAGGGATAATTCAGATTTTTTGAGGTGGGGTTGCATGGGTACTTATTCATCAACAGTGTGTTACATACAGTAGATGTCAGTCAGCATGCCCCCAGTTTGGAGAAGCAGACTGGAAGCTAAGCTAAGCAATCTACTGCTGTCAGGGGGGTCAGCAACAAAATGTATTTTAGCCACCAAAAAAATTCAGTATCACTTTAAGTGTATGCTATGTTGAGAATATTTTCACTGCTTTACCTTTATGTCAGACAATATTTTTTAATGTGAAAATGAACCCCGTTATATTTCTGTTTTCAAAGCCAGACTCCATTGAGAAAAACAGTGATTTAGCATTGCTGGACACAGGAGCTGCTGGTCTACTGCTGCCTTGAACAGTTATTTTATTTGTGTTGTTGTGTGATTTTGGTGTTTACAGAGGTTAGTTTGGATCTACCAAAGTCACACAATAACACAAACTAACAAACTGATCGAGTCAGCGGTAGACCAGCAGCTCCTGTGTTCAACAAGCAAAAATTACTGTTTTTCTCAATGGAGTCTGGTGACTTTGATGAGAACATAGATGGGGAGAGGAGGTGTTAACGGCTTCCCCCTGATACAAAGGTAAAGGGGTGAAAATGCACTCAAAGTAGCATACATTTAAACTGATATTGATTTTTTTTGGTGGGACTTTTTAAAGTGGCTAAAATACCTTTTGCTGCTGACCCCCATCCACAGCAGTACATTGCTTAACTTCTTTGTCGGACTCCAGCCTGCTTCTCCAAACTGGGGACATGCCAGCTGACATCTACTGTATGTAATATACTATCTATAAATAAGTACCCCATACAACCCTGCTTAAAAAAAACAACCGAACTGTCCCTTTAAGGTCTAACTTTTTTTCATGCATTTACAGCATTTTGGAGAAGACCTCTTCAATTCTTGCTGTTTACTTGAGCACTGACTCCATTCATACAAACTCCAGTGCACTTTAATCTCATAAAATTACAGAAAGACTGGCCTGTGCCCTTTAGTCCTCCATCATATATAACAGCTTTTTCTCAGAAACAGTCATAAAGTCGAGATTAAAAAAACAACAAAAAAACAACAGCTCCATTCACAAACCAGCTGGCCAACTGAATTTCGCTTTGTCAGGAAAGCTGCAGGCCGATTTGATTCAGCGGTTTCATGCCTTAGTTTATATCTCCTCCTTACTTAACACAGAACTTCTGTCCTAGATAAAAAAAGATATTAACAGTCGAGTGGATTATTACATATTAACAGAGCAATGCATCTGTACATGGCTTTCTCTCAGTATGGCAAACCTGCATACAATTTATGCCTGTGTAAGTGTACATGCCAATAGAAAAGGATATTGGCATGGAGAGGTGGGGTGTGAAGATTGTGTCAGGGGTTACACACCTTTAAGGCATGTAATCCTGTTATTTTAGGAGTGAAATTGGGTGAAAAGGGTGTTAGTTTCACTCATAGGGGTCTGTCCATTACTTTTTAATCGAGACAAGGGATAGATGGGGGCAAAAACACACAAACTCCCTTGAAAAAAAATACAGATTTTGGCCTTGACATCCCCCCAAAAAAGCGTTCTTTGCAAAAATGGAAAAAGTGTGTTTTCAGTACAAACAGCAGAGCAGCCTGATTTGAATTCAGTAAGTGTGTGCAGCTCTTATTATTTACTGCGAGCTGATGGCGCTAATTGTTTGCGCTCTTATCTCGATGCTCACACAAAAGGGAATCCTCAGAGCAACAAAATGGACAACCAGCTCTGAAAGCGCAGCGACGTCTGCTTTACATCCTGCATCATTAACAAATACAAATTGGTTTTTCCCCCCCAGTGAAATCACTGGGTGATTTCACTGGGGGGGAAAAACAAAGAAAAAAAAACCTGCTGCCATGGTTACTGACAGCTTCTCTCTTTTTCCTCTCTCTTCTCCTCTCACTCCATCTCCATCTCTCTCCGCCCCCATAGCTAACGACAGCAGTAACATGCACTCATGTAGTCTGACAGGTAGAGCTTTTTAAATTTACTGTTACATGGGATCCTGCGAGTCTGAATCCATTGTGCAGCAGGGGTGCTATTATAGATTGAGTACAACTGGGACTGTGCAGCCTTTGTGTGTGATGTGCCTGCTGCAGCCCAATCAGGAGTAGATTGTGTTTGAAGTGCTCATGATATGAGGATGATGTTAAGGGTCTGACTCCCACTGGGACCGATGAATACATTACACCTCAATCCATGTTGGCACCCATGGCGATGAAACCTGACATTCGGTTTGGCAAAATGCCTTCTGATGCCTGAGAAAAAGGATAGGGCGATGTAATTGCATGCTGAACTCCCTCTTTTCTTTCAATCCTGTTATTTTAGCATCTTATGATTCCCTATTTGATGCATTTCAGCCAGTCTGTAAAGCACTTTGATATGTGTAGAAAGTGTATGATATAAACTTATCTTGCCTTACTTTTCCTAATGAAACTCAGTGGTTTCAGTCCCAAGATCAGAGAACAGTTTGCAAACATCAGAGACAATAAAGATAAAAACGTCAAACCAGATCAAAGATAAGAAATGTCTGCAGGGCATGTGAGTGAGGAGCAATTTTAGGTCACACTCTCACATGTAGACTAAGAAATGTCAGGTTTTTGTATCCCTGAAGCCATTTAGTGGGTTTGAAACAGCATCAAGCCGAGCAGAGTCAGAGGCAGGTTAAGTAATGCGTCCCCTTTTAAATGAGTGGCAGCTCTCTGGCCAGAACAAAAAAGCCAGCTGAAACAGTAACACATGTAACCTGTTGCTGTTCTGCTAATTGACCACTAGGGACAGTGTGGGTGGCTGACATTACAGGATGTTTGAATTAGCAGTGGAACAAGGGGCTCTGTGATGGACAGAACAAAGAGCGCTGGTCACCACAGCAACTAAAAAAAAAAAAAAGGTGGTGAGACAGGGTGACACGGGGTGAGGCAGGGAGAGACAGAGTGAGGAAATAGAAAGTTGGAGAGAAAAAGACAGAGCGGGCATAGAGCCAGAAATTCATCTCATTCTATCAGTCATGTGGTGATCACCGTGGTTACAACAGATGTAAAACTGAATAAAAAATGTCTACCTTGCCGCCAGCCTGCTGCTGTAGTTACACGTGAGTAACGGTCACCGTGGATACCATACCGTGCTTCCCCTACACTCTCTGCATGAGTCCCTTTAAACTCTGAATGACAGAGAGAAAACCCTCCTAAAAAGCCGGAGTGACACAGTCGACTCCGTTTCCAGAGAGTGCACACTAGATGTCAACTAACACACTGTATGTCTGACTTGCCACATAATTTTTGATCCCTTCCCATGTTTGATTTTGGGGGCGGATGAACAATTTAAAACTCTCCACTCATGCTGCTGAAACTTTTTCATGCTTACTGAATACGTGGGAAAAGCTTAGCATGTAGCAATACCTGCTAATTACAGCCTACCTGACAATATAAAATGGTGAGCTCAGTGTGCATCTGTCTAGCTTATAATTATCAGCTAGCAAAAATATAGGCTACTGTGACATTATTGCTATGGTTTCTTTAATGACCTATATGGAGCCAGGGCTGACTTTGAGTACTGCAACACTTTGAGAAGTGACAGGTTTATACTTTTGGGAAAAATGTTAGTTTGACCACTGCTTTAGCCACTCAGACTGCAGGTGGGATTTAGAGGATTAAAAAACCAAGTCCACTAAATTCATGTTACAAGCTAAAAGATAAAGTTTATCTTTTTAATTATTTGGGTTCTTTGATTTGTAGTTATTTTTTAAAAACTGGATGAATTTTAATTTGAAAACTCACATGTATGGACTGTACACTATATTTCTGTGCTGCTAAGGCACAATCTTCAATATAGTTTTGAAGTCAGAAGTTTATTCCGCAGTAATATCACTTCCTGTCCCTCCTTGTCTGAAAGCTATTACAAAAAACATCCTGTTTTTCCAAACAAATTATGACTCCACCATTGTTCTGAGGGGCTGGATTCCCTCTGTGGCCACCCATGCAAGAAATGCACACAGCCGCATTATGTAAAGGTGGTTTGGATAAAAGTGTCCAGCAAATGGCAGATGGTGTGTGGAGAGAGGAAATCTACTCTTTTGTCCACAGTAACAGCGATGTGCTCCTTACGTTCTCCAGCTGGGGCCTAGTCTGCAGTTTTAATGGACCTAAACACGAACAGTGAAGGTCACATAAGGAAGGGACCTTTTGACCTTTGCCCTCTAATTCCCACCTGCAGAGAGAGAGACAGAGCAGCATCACCTGGTTAATCTGCATCCTCTTCATGTCCCTACACCCATAACTCGGCTCACTGACAGTAGTATTTGATATGGAAAGTCACTGAGTCCACTAATAACTCAGTCAATAAATGGAGGTGGTGGGGAGGTAATCATCTGGCTAAAATAAGAAAATAAATGTCACTGTTTAGGAGGTAAAAATTATATAAGACTTGCCAGGATCCATTGCACAGTTAATTTGTAAAACAATCTGCTAAAGCAGTCGAACTAACAGGACGAAATTTTAAACTAGACTTAAGGCCTCAGGAGTTCGATAGATTACACCAATCGTCATGTGTAATGCCTCGTGTTTTCTTTGGGCCAGAGAAGAGGGACATGCAGAGGAAGTCAGGAGAAGAGAGGATCTGAGTGTGTCATGTGTGCTCATAGTATAAGTTTCCCAGTGTCTCTACGAGTGTCAAATTTCATGTCATTTGTAAAACAGTGCAATCGAGAAGGAGGCAGAGAAGAAGCATCTACAGACACTGTGAGGACAGTGAAGCAGTGTGAGGACCTGGCTATGAGGAGGAATCTTCATTATTATTGCACTTGGAACCCCAGCATACTGTAGCTTACACTTGAGCTGTTCCTCAGTGAGGAGATAATGAAACCGTAACCAAAAAAGCCCACTGCCTGAAATATATGATTCACATGTGGCAGGGAGACTGACCACTGCTGAGTATCTACAATAAAAAGTGGTTTCTGACCCCATCATCCAATTTAAATCAGTGGAATTTGCCCAGAGGATAAAATCAGTAAAGTTTTTAGACTGAAAAAATAATATCTATATAACTAAACGTATTCCCAGACCAGAGAGTGTAGTAGTATTGTTATGCCTGACAGACTGCTGGAAAGTGAGCAGGCCTCTTGAGATGCGGTTGGCAGTTGCCTCGGAGTGCTGACCCAGCTGTCAGGATTCTAGGAGTCTTGCGGTTGTGGCGACGTCGTGGCGGAGAGGTGCTCTGTGATCCAGCCAGTCACCTCCTTCAGCACGGACTCGGCCACCTCTGGGAGGTCGTGGTGAAGGGCGTGGTAGCCTCCATCATAGATCTGAGGAGGAGCAGAGAGACACAGTGAGTCAGAGAGACGGGATGCACGCAACAAGGAGCTCCAAAACAGTTATCTGAAGCCATTTGGGGAACATCAAGTAAAATGTTCATCCTCTTTTAAAAAAATTGTCAAGGCTGTCAAGAGTCACAGCTGAGACAAATTCATCTTGCTTACCTAAACCTACAGGGGTTTTTCTGTGATCAACACATTTCCTGACAGATGATACACTAATCACTTCTCCAATAAGACATGTGATAAACAGTCCCTGTCCTCATGAACACCACCTGATTTATTAGAAATGAAGAACAGAAAGATCAGAATGACACAGAAACGCCCTTTAAATCTCTTCTCTCTTTTTACTCCTCTCACCTCTCTTTTCATTATTATTTGCCAGCCCTCATACGATAACCCATGTGCTTGAAAAAAGAAAAGCGTGTGAACTTCCCGCTTCACAAAGACACATCCCTCTGTAAAGAGGAAGAAGAATCTAGAGTGGTCATACAGAATGCACTCTGCTGCAGTCAGCTTTAAGTGTGTGTGTGTGTGTGTGTGTGTGTGTGTGAAAGTGGGGCGGGGAGACTTCAGTATTGTTCCCAGAAATGTTTTGTTTTTTACAATCAATGTACTCCTCAAAATTAAAGCTGCATATTTTTCTTCTTAAGGAACAGGACAACTACCCTATGTAAAGAACAATGACTGACCGAATATATGACACATTAAAACAGGACTGATGCGGAACTCAAAATGTTAACTGCACCGCTGTTAGTCTAAGCACATCAGATAATTAGTAATATTAACTGTAAAATAAGAAACCAAAGTATATCAGTATGTGACTGCTTAACTCTCATATTGACATAGTTTTCAAATAACCTATATCAGCATAAAAAAAGTCCTAAAATTCAGTTTTGGCTTTTGGTTTTGGCATCCCGCCCCAAGATTTTCCATCACCCCATCTGGCCACCACCATGAAACATTTCTGGGGGTGCCATTAGTGTGTAGAATGCTGAGGCTGAAACATTGTATTAAATAATACACTTTAATGAAATAAAACTATGTTATATATCCACAGATATCTTTTACAGCCAGCAAAGCTTCATTCAGGCACTGAGCTGCATATAAGCTGAGTGTACTGAACTGAGTTTCATGTATCAAAGTCAACAGCAAACACTTTTACACTGCTTGAAGCTGCACCAGTGGAGTGTAATTTTTAAAATGCCAGAGGGCAGTGTGATACATTGTTTCCTAATGTTTTGGTATTATATCAAACAAGTCCATAAAAAAATGAACAGTATGAACAAAATGAAGCAGTGGCTACTGGATACAAGTTTGCATCAACAGGGTGACTGATTTTCTTTTCTATTTTACCAGGCAGTCCCACTGACAAAAAAATAACTTTAAATAAAGACAAAAAAAGACAAAAACCTCATCCCCACCTTGATTTTCTTGTCTGAGCTTGGCGCGTTCTCATACATCATCTTGGAGCCTCTGATGTCGCAGAGCTTGTCAGCGTCACCGTGCAGGAGCAGGAAGGGCCAGCTGATGGACGGGATCTCCTTCTCGATGCGCGCCGCCGCCCCCATCAGCTGCATGCCGAACGACACCCGCATGCCGCCGTGGAAGTTCAGCTCATCAGCGTCGTATGCCTCCACCTGGCGAGAAAGAGAGAAAAGAAAAAGTTTGATGGGGCAAAGTGGACGATGTTTATCACACTTGATGCAGGACTCATTAATCTCTTAATGTAACCATAGAAACTACAGTTTGGCATAACATATTTTGTTGGACATTTAGAAAGCATTGCTGTAGGGTCTGGTTTGCATTAAACATCTATGTTTAGCAAGCACAACATTTTGTAGTTTAATCCGAATATGGAAGAAAGCCAAGAGAGTAAGAGCCTCCCTGAGAGCAAATAGGGCCAAGGATGGAGTAAGGAGTAAGTATGATAAATAACTGGATGGAGGGCTTTTATGGAAAGAAAAATAAGAGCCAGAGAAACAGAGAGACCCAGAAAGTAGATGTGACACTTAAACATTCGTGTAGATCAATAGCAGACGACACACCCTGTTTTTCCTTACATTAAACATGAATACTTTCAAGTTCCATATGTGCTCTGACATAATTCACACACACAAACACACACACACACACACACACACACACACACCCATTTCGATTGATCTTACAAAAACACAGCTGAAGGCCCACTCTAATAGAAGCAGCTCCTCTGAGGCCACGTGCGCTGCTGCTTTGAATAACGAATGACTGTAAGCTGAGACGTGAAACAACACAACCTGTTGAGCAGCTCAGAGGAGTCAGTGACACTCAGAAACATTGTCCTGAAAGTGAAAGTTTTCCTTTGATACCCTGATAACACCATATAACAAAAAATAATAAATAACACAATACAAATCATCCTTAAACTTTTTTTGCTGGATGACAGTGTCACACTTTATCTCACTGTGAAAAAGGTAAAGTTACAGTAAATATACAGAGAGGAGGCTTTGAAGTTTCTCATAAAAATGTTAATGAAAGGCTATATTTGCTCCTCACATCAGTCAAGCTGCAGTTTACAGCCGTATCTGTCCAGACTCATATAATATACATTGGGTCTTTAATGGTGAAATGTAAGTTATCACTATATTGACCTGTATGATTCCAGTGAATAATTTCCGGAGAGAAACATCCTGTCTTCACATGGGGAATATTTTTATAGAGGAGTACAGAGGACTGATAGAGAGCTTCATCACATGGTGCAACGACAGAGAATGTGGTTTGCTGTACAGACTGTGAAGCCCCTTAAGGCTAATTTTGGTTTGTGATATAGTGATATATGAACAAAATTGATTTTAATTTGACTTTAGTACGTTTTCTTCCCTGAGAAACAAAGTAAAATTAATCGTATGTGTTCTCATGCTTGGCCAATAAAGCAGGTTCTTATTGAACACAAAGCTGGAGCCATGACTGTTGACAGTGCTTCCAAATATGGATGTTGCTGCAAAGAAGCTACATGTTCTTAAACACAGATGCTTCAAACACATCTTCAACCCGGCAGCACAGAAGATCTGTACAATCAGCACAGTTTCAAGGAGGACACCCAAGATTAGTGTCACCAATTCTGTATCTGACCGAATGTCTCCCCTTCTGTTCCTGAGTAATGGACTGAAAAGTGTTTTTGCACAGCGTTATGATGTCACAGTGAAGTTGACCTTTGACCTTGTGGATATGGAGTGTCATCACCTTATCATTTTATCCTATTTGACATTTGTGTAAAACTTTGTCATAGTTAGCATATGAATTCTTGAGTTATGGACAAAAACATATCTGTGAGGTCACAGTGACCTTTGACCACTGACCACCAAAATCAAATCAATTCATCCTTGAGGCCAAGAAACTCCCTCCAGGCATTCCTGAGATATCCTGTTCACAAAAACACAATGCCTCCTGCTGTGGATGTTTCTGGTGTGGAGGCATAAAAATCTTTAAAGAACCTTTCTTCTATCAGTAATTCGTGCAGGTTTACTTCCTCCAACAGACTGTGGGATGCACAAGTAGCAGGATGTGGGATTCTATTGTTACTACAAACTGTTTCTGAAAGGCCGACTCTGGTGTGTCAATACTTTCAAAAACCACAGAATACGTCCACATGCACATGTACGTGCAAACAGAGGTGTGCAGACGTGCCTGCATGTGTTTGTCTCTTCTGTGGTTCATTCAAAACACACACAAACAACCAAATACGGGACACACCTAGAGATTCTGTCTCCTTGTCCTGTAGGTGACACAGTACATGCACCTGTTTTTATAATTACAAACAACACAATACAACCCACCCAAAATATGACACGCACACACACACTTTGCTTGATTAGATAACACTGACTATTTGCGGTTTGGAAAGGATTCAAAGTGAGTATTGTGGGGTGGGCTTTCCTCCTGGGACTGCATGACTTCACCGAGTACACATAAAACACACACGCACCCGCCCCCCCAACCCCCGTGACCTTTCGCCTAATTTCTGCGACACCCATACCTGATATTTAAATCACAGATAACAATGCAGCTCTCCCACCCACCAACACACACCGACATGTGTCTCTCACCTGCTTCTTGTCCCGTGAGACCCATTTGGAATCGATGGAGCCCAGAGTGAGTCTGGGCAGCATGTGGTTCAGGACCTTCGCCAGGAAAACCTGCAAACAGTGAGAAAACAAAACACGCCGAGCGTTTCAGTTTATTTTCACACATCAACACCTCCCTGATGAATGTTTCCATCTCTCTCTGTTTTTTTTTTTCTCGCCATCTGACAAGTGTTACAAAGAGATACAGTCATGAACATTGTGAGTATGTACTGTATGTGTGTGTTTCTACTGTGTGTTTATGCCTATTGTTCCTACATGAAACTGCTCACAACAAGGTCTGTGGATTATCTTGAGTAAGCGGTCATGATTCCTGGAAAGAGACATTGCTGTTAAGTTTTTCATATGCATTTTATTGGCACTTTTAAGTGCCATCTAGTTCCATTATATTGGAGAGAAGGCAGAAATCTCTACGGCTAATGTCTCCAACACTTCACATCAAAACAGTCTAAACTGATAAATAGCACTACAGGTAACAGGAAAAATATGTACTTTTGATTTTGGGATGAACTGTCCTCTAAGAAAAACATTTCTTCTTGTTAAACATGCTCATAATTACAAAAGTGAGTCAGTGTTTGGCCTTGACAGTTGGACACACTTGTGTCTGTGATTCAGTAAGAGACAGCTAATGCTGCTCAAGTGGCACTTACACTGATTCTTGCCCTTGAAACACACAAAATAAAAGGTGTCAGTATTATAGTCATCACCCACAGCAGGGCTGAGTGGAGTGAGACGAAAGACTCTTGGGTTAACTGAGTACTTGACTGAATAGTAAGACTCAATTATGGAGGAAAGAGAAGAGGAAAAGAGAGAGCAAAAAAGTGAAGAACAGCGGAGTGAGTAAGTGGATGAGCGATGGTGCCGTACCTTGAACGGTGTGGCCGAGTCTGGGTTCATCTGGACCATTGGAGCTATAAGAGCCACTCCGGCAAAGTCACTGGGCCTCTCACAGGCGGTCAGGATAGAGATAGCACCACCCTAAAAAAGACAAGGCACAGAATATATTAAATATATTTGACATATTAAAGTCTTCTATTCTTTAAAGTCAATGGAATGATTTATTAAAGATTTATACTTTATACATTTATACTTCTGCGTCAAATCAATGCCGTACCTACACCATGTTTATTTTTTTGTAAGCTGGTATCATTTCCCTCAGTGGAAACAAAGCTTTTACTCACATTACTTTCACAGATAAGAAACAATAAATTATGAAGACAATAAAGCCTCCACAAAATAGCATTTTATGAGTTATAATGGAACCGAATTTTGTAATGTTACCTTTGTTAAATGTTGCTGTTGTCCCTGGCTTCATATGAGTAGAGGAAAAGTCTGCTAACTGCTAGGCTAATTCATACAATGTAAAATGCCATAGGCTTGTGCTAAAAACATTAGCATGTTGTATTTGTGGGGAAAATGTGTCCAGATAAAGACAAATGCTTTGTCTGTGAATGCTGCGAGTTACAGTGAAGCCAATTTGTGTACTACAAGCTGTGTTTTAAGTGTGTTTTGTGTGTGTTTTCACTCAACCAAACTTTAAAGCACTTCACAGAAACCTCCTCTGCCAACTAGTGTTTCGGAGGTGTAACAGCAGAGTGACACAGACACACCACAGCACAAGTATAAATGCTCACAATGGCGTAGGCCACATGCATAGGCTACAGCATAGGGTCTGCTGCACAAGTATAAATCCCCCTTTAGAATAACAATCTGAGCCTGTCAGTGGCAAAAACAAGCACATTTAGTGGATGTAAACCCCAAGTGGTTACATAGCAGCCTGTTTTGTGGCTACCGGCTACAGCAGTCCTGCTCAATTCCAAATCAAACATACCCTTTAAAACTAGAAGTCACAGGCAGCCTTTCAGTTAATTGGTTCATAGTACACAAAGTAGGTCTACATATTTTTGCATGACAGGAATTTATCTGACACAGAGCAGCCTGAGATAAGGGCAATACTAGAATGGAGAACATGTTTCAATGAGAGGAAGATGATATGAGCTTCTCCTTCAGTCTGTAATAGAAGACAGGGACAGGGAGTGTCTTTTGTGCAAAGTAGGTGAGAGGTTCTGATGCGGGGAGCAGTGGGAAAACTCCTCAGAGTTCAAGACGAACATAAAACAATCCATCTTTTGTTTAGGCGGTCGTGAATTTCCACCCAGTTCTTTTGTTGCTGCTGCTCTACACAGACTGGGAGAAAGATGCTAGTGAGAACCCACCGCCCGTAGGGCAAAACGTGCACTGTGTAGCTGCAGCGAACATCAGCGCGAGGCCACACCTTGGCACCCATGCTGACATTTGGGATTGTGATTTAAATCCTGTGATGTAGGGCCATGATAATTAGCAGCTCAGGGGCGGCCAAGACTCAAATCAATTCGCCATGGTTCACTTTGTCGTGGTCTCTCTCCGCATATGCAACAAGTGCAAGTGTCTGTGTGGGTGCACACAGACAGACACACACATGAGCACGGCGATTCTGCATGGGTGAATCTGTCCGTCTCTCCGTCTCTGGAGACTAATTGGCTTCAACTTTGTTTATGTGAGCGTTCTTTGTCACTTGTGTGAATATTCATCAGGCTGGGGCCAATGACAGGCTCACTTCACGAAAAGAGGCACCAAAAGACAAAACATTTCCCACCAGAAAATCTCACTTTCTAAAGCACACAGGCACACACTCACTCGCTGCATATGCCCACACAAACACACACACACACACACAGTCAGAAGAAGAGGCTGACTAGCTCCATCTCTTGTTTCTCCCCCTTATACTCTTATTCCAACAGACTATTAACGACAAGCTTACACTGCAATGTCCATGTGTAAACACCAGGACGCACACACACACAAACCTGGGCTGCACAATATATCGTTTTTTAAAATCGTCATTGTGATGTCAAATTGTGCAGTAATCACATTGTGAAAGACTGTGATACTGCACTTTTAGTATAGTACTAACATACTCAATTACATTTTGTCCGTAGGTGTATTTTGCCTGATACACACCATATGGCCAATCAGACAGACAGAGCCCTTGCCCTCAGGCATCGTCTGTCAAAGACATCAATGACTGGTGTCAACAGAATAGCCGACATGTTTTCATTAACCTCAAGTTCTGAACCTGAGGAAGTTAGTTAGCCCAGCAAAACATCAGGACATTCAAATATTTTAGCATAATTGTTCTACATGCTAGTTCAAATGTCCTAAAACAGCTACCAGTACATGATTACATTAGGTTTTAGTATAATATTAACTTTCACTGGGAGGAACTTAAACAGCTGTAGGTAGTAAAAGCAAAGTCACAGCCAGGGTGAGGGGTGATAGCTGCATCTGCTGAGGTAACATCCTCCTGACAGCCAACTCTGACATCACACCAAGTCACTCACCGGCCCTCTCATATGTCGACTGCCATTTCTGGCTTCTTCCCTTGTCGTTTCAGACAAACCTCGATGGAACGGCCCACTTTTCAAGATCTCTAAGGCTTTCCAACGAGCTCACGATTCATCATCTGATGAAAAGTCATGGAAACTTGTTGTTGGAACAATATAGTTACTTTTGCAGCTTGATTACACAACAGTTCAGCTCAATATCTCAATGGGAGCAGTAGCGGTAGTCTTTCTCAATAGGACCGGTAGAAAAGTGGAAGTAAGTCTCTACTGCCTTTGCTTACTTCTGCTCGAGGAACACACAGCTTAAAAAGCCCCTAATTTGCATACAGGAGAGACAGCGTGGTAAAAGAACAGTTACTGTGCAAGTCTGAGTCAAGAACTCAGTAGACTTTACTATCTGTTTATCTACTGGAAAAAATATCATTATCATGATATTGAAAAATGTTATCGCATAGTCACAGAAAAATTTTACAATTGAATGTTGAAATTGCCCCGGGATGATTTTAGCATCCTGAACTGGTTGATCAGCTCAACACATCAAATTCCGGTCAATTATAACAAGATGACGCAATGTAATTTGGTACAAAAGCCCATTCTGGGTCATGCCCTTACACACAAGAGGCAAACACACACACACACAGAGACTGTACATTTTGTCACTGGGCTTCAGTGATAGAGAGTGAGAGATAAGTGTGAATAGGGAAGAGACAGATACAGAGAGAGAAAGAGAAAGAGAAAGAGAGAGTGCGGATTGGGACAGAGAAGCTCTTTAAAAAGCTGACTAGAGGCCTCCCTACGCTTTCTCTCTCTGAACTTTGGTTGAGAGGATGAATACTTGTATTGTATGCCTGTCTGCTGACAGTGTGTGGACTTGAACTGTCAAAAATTCCCTGAGGAGCGAACATTCTGACATCATATGGACTATACAGCTAGCATACTGGCATTGCAAGGTCTAACGTTGTCAGTTTCCCCATAACAGTCAGGAGACACCAAGAAGCCTTTTTGTTAAACAGCAGTACGTTCAATAAAAATCCAAAGACTTGGATTCAATGCGCTCCGATTAAACAACGTGAAGCTATTCACTTAAAGTAAACACTGATGAACAGGACAGAGTGGGAGAGTGACGAGGTTACACACAAAAATGGTGTGATAAAAAACAAAGAAAAAAGTGAAATATTGTATAGTGTGAGAAGAAACTGAGGGAGTAATTTATACAGAGAGAAATGGAGGGTTGACAAGTTGAATGAATACATTGAAGGCCCTAAACAGTGACAAAGCATTACATAAAACTCTGGCACCAAGGAAGTAGGACAAATGAGGCTCGGCCAGAAGCACTAAGAAGGAGAGAGATGAGGAAGAGTGAGGAGCCAGAGCTGAAGGCATTTGTCAGCACTCCCATGGGCGGCTACGACACTGGCAAACTGCTCCAACGGCTTAAACAAATAAGATTCAGAGGAAAGTGTGAGATAGTCAGTGTGGTGTATCAGACACAGAAGCTACAAATGTGTATTGGCAATTTATTTTGTCAGTTTTAATCATTTCACATTTTTATTCCCTTATTTATGTTCATGTGTTTTGTGAGAACTGATTCTTCTTTTGGAGATGATAACTTTTCACATCAGCTCGCAGCACTTTCAAAACGTTATATTTTAATAATTCACTTGTTTTATTGCAGGAGAATTTTTAACAAGACTACAAATTTACAGTCATGCCAGCAGCTCTGTACTTTGACACAATGGTGAGCTTGTGGCGCATTCAATTTGCACTGGAAATTGGAATTTCTACATTTCCACATGGAAATTGGAACTTGAATGTGCCCTGAAGACCAAATAACAACTTGGAAAGTTAAAGAAATCTCACCATCCCTACCTGAAAATCCAATATGGCTCCTCTGTGCATCAACAGTAGTGAAAACTGTAGTAATATACTGTTTATGAGAACTTTTGTCCTGTTTATGTCTCATTAAAACAGGCATACACACAGTCCTGTCCAACTTGTGTCTGTGGACATGTTGCTACAGTGTACAGTGCACAATGCAGCGCCATACATTGTATTAACTGGTATTGCTAACAATAGCTAACCTGGTTTGAACTGGTAGCTGACAACATCTTGGTTGAAAGGTGATCAACTTGGGTGTGATGTCATTCCCAGCTCCGACCTCTGACTTCCGAGGTAAATGAAATGCATACATGCCATGTTGGGATGCTAACATGCTCACAATAACAATGCTAACACGCTGATGTTAAACAGGAATAGGATGTATGTGATACTACTTCCTGTTTACTACATAGTGCACTATATTTACTGTTTGCCGTTTTGAGTAATAATTACATATATCCACTGTACAGTGCCCTCAAAAAATTCCACAGTAGTTAGCAGTGTCAATGGCATGTACGCTACTAACTACTAACAATACTGCAATGCAAATGTTTGGTCATTTGTACTGTCAATATGAGCCATATTAACTGATTAAATTTTACTTTGGACCACAGTAGCGGGCCGACCAACAGACATTAGTCCAGCCAATAGCCTTTCTAAAAATAATATAATGCTAAAAAAACCCACTTAAGTATACATTTATCTCCCCTGCTTATA